GGGATACAGTGACCCAGGAGCAGCAGGAGTATGTAAGGAGGGTAGGGAGGAAAATAACCCTACTGTGTTCGTGCACTGCGATCTCGCAGCTGAAACAAGTAGCAGCACCTGAAAATATGTCTGCCATGTAATTTACCTAACCGTATAGGGCTATTTGGATTGTCCTACACGGAACAAAGTTTGTTTATTTTTCTTTTTTATTCCCTATTCCCCTATTTTATATCCCTTTGAAAGAGCTCACTGAGTCTCAAAACCCAAAGGCATTGATTTATCCTTACCATAGTTAGATTTACCAACTAGGAACAAACATAGGAACATAGAAACATAGAATGTGATGGCAGATAAGAACCATTTGGCCCATCTAGTCTGTCCAACTACTATCTCAAAGAAATGATAATGATAATATCAAGGAATAAAACAGTTGAGAATGGAGAATACAAGAATATCAAATTATTTGATGGTATTTCATTTTCATCACATCAAATCAGAAGAACTTACGCAGAGCAGACACAAATTTTAAGGAACAAAAACATCAAATACAGATGGACATTCGCAACAGCTTAAGTGGTTATATTTCAGGATGCTTCATATTTCTTTAAAGATCCACAGGAACTGAAAAAGAAAGTCTTATTATAGGGTCTCTGGAAAATTTTGTGGATATGTTTGTATCTCCCGTAGTTCTGGAATGATATTATTTTTTGTATCCCCCTATAGCATTCTTAAATAAACTTATGAATCAAATAGACGAATTGGTAGTGGGAAGACTGATGATAGGGGGAGATTTTAATTGCATAATGGACCATAAATACGATAGGAAAAATTCTTTGCATAGTAACTATGTGATTGTTGGAGAGTGAATAATCCAGTGGGTCGAGACTATCCAAGTACAACAAACATACTCCCACATTGATTATTTTTTGTTAAAATCTAACACATTGGATTGTGTAACAAATACTAAAATAGGCCCAATAATGTGGTCTGACCACACTCCCATTGTTGTCTCTTTTAAAAATAATGTTGAATATAAGGTCAGAAATAATTGGAGACTTAATGAAAGTTCGCTACGTAAGAGTGAAAATATCTTGTCTCTTTCACCTCATATTCAAGATTTTTGGGATCAAAATGACAAGGGAGAGGTTTCTGACATGACCTTGTGGTGTACCTTAAAATGTTATGTAAGAGGTAAACTCATGAAAATAGATACTCAAACAAACAAACAAACAAAAAAGGTCTGGAGAAACATTGAGTAACTTGCATATTAATTTAGCTAAATTAGAAAGACTCCATAAGGCCACCTTAGATCCATCCACCTTGACAGAGATCAATAAAGTGAGAAATGATATTGCAGAGCAGACACTTATAAAAATCAATAAAGCCATCTTAATTTTAAAATAAAGATGGTACCATGCCGCTAACCTATCCTGTAAAATTTTAACAAATAAGTTAAAGAATAAGACAAGTGCTGACGTAATTAAAAAAAACTAGAGGTCAAGGGAAAACAGCTTTTAACTCCCAAACAGATCAGCCAGGCATTTGGGGACTATTATAGATCCTTATATAACTTGGAAGATCATAGCCTTTCTACTGTTGAAATCTCAAATTTCTTGAATAATCTTAAAGGACCACTCTAGGCACCCAGACCACTTCAGCTTAATGAAGTGGTCTGGGTGCCAGGTCCCTCTAGGGTTAACCCATTTTTTCATAATTATAGCAGTTTCAGAGAAACTGCTATAATTATGAATGGGTTAAGCCTTTCCCCTAATCCTCTAGTGGCTGTCTCATTGACAGTTAGGCGCTAGTGCTTCTCACCGTGATTTTCACAGTGAGAGCATAGCGCCCATAGAAAGCATTGTAAATGCTTTCTATGAGACAGAATGCGCCAAGAAGCCTGCGCTGCGAAACATCGTGCCGGGCGATCGGAGGCGGAGAGGAGGAGGAGAGCCCCCGCCCGCTGGAAAAAGGTAAGTTATTACCCCTTTCCCCCTTCCAGAGCCGGGCGGGAGGGGGTCCCTGAGGGTGGGGGCACCCTCAGGGCACTATAGTGCCAGGAAAACAAGTATGTTTTCCTGGCACTATAGTGGTCCTTTAAAATTTCTCCCGCTAAACTAGATTCTCTAAATAAACCTATATCATTATTAGACATTACAAATTGTATTAAATCTTTGAATTTGAATAAATCACCTGGGCCAGATGGGTACTGCGCGGGGTTTTTCCAGTAATTTGAAAAATTGCTTTCACTTTCACTTTCCACAGTAACTTCTATATGACCGATCCAAGGCTTTCTGTGTATCAAGGCTTACACATATCGGTGAGCAGCCTTTAATATGAGTAGAATCTATCAAGTTTAGCACCCTGCGGATCGCATCACTAGCTTCCCAGTTTATAATATGACCTACATGGTCTACATGCGCCACAGAAGGCAAAAATGGGCCCAATTTATATCTATGTGAAAATGTGTATATAACGGTAATAAGCAGAGATATCAGCCTGTAGTTAGCACAACATGATGGGTCCTTACTATCCTTTGGCAATACCACAACACAAACAGCAAGCATTTCTGGTGAAAATCTCTCTGCCCGTACTATTGCATTGAAGAGTTTCAGTAGGCGTGAAGCCAGCCTATTTCTGAATTGCTTAATGGTCTTTTTTTGTGCATAAAACTCACAGATATCTATGTAAATGGTCTTACGTATACAGCACTTACAATATATGGGGTCTATAGATGGACATTGTGCCATCTGTCATATAAACATCAGGCAATGAATGCTTTTTCTTTATGTCCACTAGGTGGCATCAATAACACTCAAGTTGTGTATAAAACATATCCATAAATAGAGGCATACATATTTCTAAATATACTGTATGTAGAGACGCGATTTTTACAGGATTTGTTTACATTTGCTACTCTGTGCTTTATTACAAACAGCTAGAACAACAAAGTATCAAAGTTTATATTCAGTCTACATTAAAGACTTTTATCAAGCTATCTGAAATACATTTGCACCACAATAAATAAACAAAAAAAGTGTGATTGTGAAAACCAGGCTGTTTGGAAACATTGTGACGTCATCGTTGTGAACAAAGAAATATTATTTTGTAAATAAACACTGTGTGCACCCTGTTAAACATACATGTTCCTCAGACCGATAAATGATAAATAGAGTAAAAAATAAAAAAATAAGGAGGTATGAGAAAAAGAAATGAATAAAAAACAAAAACAAAACAGAAACAACCACATATACAATATTAGAAAATGACATTGAGACAAGATCACATCTATGCAGATATAGAACAAAGTAATACCATATTCTCATAAAAAACAAAACAAAATTCAACAAATAGAGAGATACATAGACAAATTTAAACATAGTAGCTCCCAAACACTCTGTAGATATCTTGGTAAAAGTTTCTAATTTAGACTGAAATGTTGATAGTTTATTGTTTTGCCAGCATGTTTGTAATAAATCATAGAAAGTGTGGCTGAGTGGGGCTTTCTTTTGGAAATGTACCATGGGTCAGACGTTGCAGCACAGAGGTCATCATGTTGGGAATGCTGTAACCCCTCGGTCAGACAGCCGAGAAGGATTTATTACACTTTCTTAGGTCCACTCTGCTAGATAAATGTACTAAAGGGATCATTATCTTAACTGTCCAACATCAAGAAAATAAATATTAAAATAGGATTGAAAAATCCTTCTGTTAATGCATAATGCTGTGCAGGTTTCCTGAGACTCTGCTGGATAAGGAAAGGAATTGGCGATTGTTCTTACATTGTCACTAGCTCCATGCCACCTACAAAGGTTACTGCATGCCAAAACTTGGAACTCCACCCAAAATAAGATAATTATGGGAAAAATTCAGCCCCAGGATGTGTATTTTGGAAAAAATCATATTAACAAAATTAATATAATAACAATCTCATGGCAACGAACACTCACACAATCTAAGCTGAATAATAAAATGATAATTAAAAGTGATCTGGACCATAAAATTGTTTTAAACACAGACATACAATCTCTGAATACAATGTCTGAATAGAATGGTATGCACTGGTGTTGCAATGGGTGAAGTGCCAGAATTGAGACAAGAACTGACACCCCTGTTTGTGTATTTGACAAGCCACATTATTCAACCATGTATGTATGTAGCCACAGTTTGGGCTGCCCATTGTCGATACATTAAAACTATACCCATGCATGGTGCACATACTGTACAAATATATGGGCAGCCAACAGAGCATGTATAGATTCCTCTTTCAGCAATGCCAGTCCTTTAAATTAACCTGAATCACAGCCCCAATCTAGTCATAGAGCATACATGGATGATGGCTAGTGGGCTGATGGTGGATGCAGCTTTATATCAAGGTTCCATTTCAGCGAAGTACTGGACTGTTGGAATCCAACTCTTTTCTTAATGTGTGAATGGCAGTGAAAGACAAGACTACCCACATGGAATGTTGTTCGTTTGGCTGCCTCCCCTCTTCTCCCTCACTCTGTGTTAGCAATGCAAGGAGAGACATTTAGCCTCCACTCACTGCACTCATTATACTGGATACCACAGGAAGTCCTTTCTTTAATAACTCAATGTCGCCAGGAGTGTGTGTGTCTGTGAGAGTAGTGAGCTTCAGTATGTATATTTCTTTGAGCGTGTCTGTGTGTATCTATGTGCATTTGTTTGCAAATATATGTATCTGTATCTTTGTGTGCAAACATTTGAGTGTCTGTGCAGTTCTGTAAAGGAATGTATCTGTGTGACTGATTGCAATGTCTATATTTGTGTTCTTGTGTACAATAGTGAGGTCTTCATAATTAATTTGTATGATCTAAAGAAGAACTCCACAACACACGCCCATTATTTAATGATACCTCCATCTAAATTACTCTGGGCCCATTAATTACACAATCTACCCCCTAATCCGATCCAATCTATCTTAAACTCCATCTACCTCTGCCCTTTCCACAACCTCAGTTAACTCTCCCTCTCTGCCCGTCCATCTCCTTCTACAAGTTCATACCCCTTCTCCACAAATCCATACAGCCTCTACACATCTAGAACTCACCCTTCTTCACATTTATATCCCCCTACCTCCAATTAACATTACTCTCTATTGTTACCTAGTACAGTTTCCAGAGGATACATTTGATATTCCATTTCACTTGAAAGTAAAAGTGTGTGTTGGGCGTTGCTCTTGGCAATAGTCACAACAGTTACAACCTCCGGTGAATTCTATGGAGTATAACCCTTGCAAAACATCTGAAGAAAGACAATGAAAGAATACTTTAATAATTACCATTCCATATTTATCTGATTATAATCTCTAAAACATGTGTCCATACTTTCACAATACACCCTTGTTCATCTCTGTGTGAAGTCTGTATTGTAGGGTCACATTATTATTGGTGGAAGCACACAATGCTGTATGCACAAATTAAATACATTATGTATTTATATGTCCCTTAACTTACCTTTTCTCCTGGTGGTAAGTGGTGCCATGAATCCAGTTTTGGACCTTTCTTAAAATTATACTTCCAGTCAAAAACATCCTGTCTGGAAGGAGTTTAGTCACTAAACAGTTAATTATGGTGAGCTAATAAACATTTTTTTAAATTTAGACCAGAATTTCGATGTTGGGTATCAACTATATGGCCACTATTACAATCAGTTTTCGAGGCTGCACATGCTATGGGAGAGCATCATTACACCTGATTTTACTTTATAAATAAAGGGATACCTCACCCCCATCACTTTCATGAAGCAACACATACTGTTAGCTTGTACCCTAAGGGCCAGTGTTGTTACTCTGTATGAGTTGTCATTTGACTCATTCCCAATTTATGTGCCTTTTCTTCCCATTATCATATTTGTCCAGATTTATCACCCCTGGTCTGCCGTCTCAATTGCAAGCCTTCTTTAGCTGCCCTTACCTGTACCTGCTACACCTTCGATCCTGGACCTCCTGCTAGCTGGTCTCTAGACCTGTTAACCCAACTTAGTTTGTCTGTAAGTATCCGCTCTGATTCAAATGTCCTCCAGGAAGTGATGATTTGCAATGTTGTGCTATATTACTACAACATAGCGCTAGCATCATGACTCAAAGCCTTAGCCTCACAGTGCGGGACACAAAGATGTTTATGTATAAAGATTCCTGGCAAACTTACACAGCAACAATCAGAAAGAATAATGTTTTCTATCCATGGTGTTCGATACACACATTGCAGTACTTGACCTCCAACTGATTTTTAAGTATACCGCTGCAAGTCTTCAACTCTCGTCATGTAAAAAAGGTTAAAATAAAATTAAATAACAGAACCCTTTGGTATTGAAATGCTCAAACTGGGAACCAAGCAGAATGTTAGAGAGTCTAATATTAAACTTCATCTGTCTGTATTTATGTTATTCATTAAAAAAAAAAAAAGACTCGGCTTCTGTGAATCGATTTGTCTAAAATTAAAACCTATTCAGGCCAGCCGAATTTTGTTCATTCACTGGTTCAGTTTATCTGAATTTTGTTTGTATATTTTCATTTCAAACTAACCAATTTCATTTTTAACCTTTTACTCATTGCAGAGGAGTTAAAAATGGAAGTGGCAGGGATAAACAGGTCTAATTTAATGACTGACCCTACACTAATAGAAGGGTGGTATTGTACCTCCCTAATACCACTACCGTCAAGCTGTGAGTGAGGGCCTTTCTTCCACAGGCCTTTTTGAAACTATTTGCCCCTGCTGCCAGTGGAAAATTAGTTCGCTCAAATCACATAACAAAATGGCTTGTCCATGGTCTATTTCGTTTGTGTATTGATTCAGTCATGTGGTGACTCGGAATTTGTTTTTTCAGACGCAGATCACACAGAATTTGAATAAATCGCAATCAGCCAAAACCTAATCCATTGAGGGGATATCTTTTCTAGGCAGAGAAATTTTTTTATAGTTTCTTCTATCTTGAACTGTGTTAGTGCAGAAGTTCTCATAGTGGGGGAAACACTAGATACTCATTTAAAGAAGATGGCATCTTTAGATATAAATCTCTGATTTTAATTAAAAAATTATCCGAGTATTTCCTCACTTTCATGTCTAATTAAGGGAAACATACTACATTTAGATTCAATAAGGCTGGTTCCTCGGATCTCCTGTATGGAAATGTATTTAAATATTTGCAGAGAAAATATTTGACCTCTTTATGCCACAAAACAGTTTTACTAAAATGATTTAACATTTTATTTTTAAGAGCAGTAACTATTTTTGTAGAACGCCCTTTTAAAGCATCCTGTCATTGGTATTCTCTCATTGCTTGTACTGTGAATAATGCTCTGTAGAGGAAGAGATTTAATCTCTATTTAAACTGTGTCAGTAAAAGGTGTTATATTCTTTAAATTGGAACCGTAACGTCTCTGGAAATTAAATCACTCATTGAATAAAACATTGAAAATCATCTATAACTTGTGTTATGCTTCATTTCCTGTTATGATTGGGTTTCATTTTAGTGTATATTAAACATGTAACAAATGCCAACATAACCCAATTCAATACAGGCACGGCAATATTGCGTGAATGTAAGGGAAATGGAAATACTGCTTCTATTAATTCTCATCTCTCTCTCCGCTGACTGACAGGTGTAAAGTGCGCAATGTATATTGATGATTGACAGGGAACAACATTTCTACATTCATTTTTATTTTTTTCAGACCTCAGAAACGAATATTTCTTAAGTATAATGGATAAAGAAACATATCACAAATTCTGGGATGTCATGGTCTATCATTTAAAGAAACATACACAAATATTCTTATTTAAAAGTCTTAGCTTTGAATGAAACAGGTGTCTCATTCTGCAGGCTGGAAAAGCAGGTAAATATGTTTTTGTTTTTTCATATTTAGCCGTTTTCTCCCTTGCGATTTCCATGCTCACCTAAGCCTAAGAGGGGACATTGATCTTTCCAACCAGTATCCGATCCCTAAGAATGCTGAAAAAGCTCAGTGTGTATCATTTGTGTCTCATTTGTGTGTGTCTGTGTGTTGCGGTTCTTAACTGAATGATGCGCTGCCTTGGCCCTTCTGAGCTCATTGTGTGCGTCAATCAGCAAGTACCACCTCCTGGTCATCTTCAGCCTTCCTGATCTGTTATTGCATTCAGAGTTCTTGAACGCTCTGAATGCACTGATTAGGAGGTGAATTCTATTAAGCATATTAATAGAGAGAGGGAAGCTGTCTGCTCTCGTCGTCTCTCTATTTATACTGATCTGATGCCTAGTGTCATTTCCTGGTCATGTCATCACTGTGACCTCTTTTCTTCACCTTTTTGGTGTCACAGAGATGACGTAGACCAATAAGTGTCCACCATAGAGTTTAAATAAGGGTTTTTGTCCTATTTGTCATTGCCCTGTCTTATTTTCCTCTTGGTTCCTCGTATAGAGTGTTAGATTGTTCCTTGGTTTTCTGGTTCTTTAATTTTTGCTTGCTAACTGACACTTCTGACTTTTGTAATGTTGAATTGGCTTGTTCTGTCATATTTACCTATGTATTTTTGGTATCCTGATCTTGGCTTGTTTTACGTTTATGCTTTCTCTCATTTTTACTTCAAAACCAGGCCATTCTAATGACCGGTAAATACATCCTTCCTGACTACTTGTCCCTGACCTATACTTGTATACTTGTAAGTTGGGTAGTGTAGCCATGACAATGTTCAAGTGATGAGTAAGGGGATTTCTGCCCTTACCGATTACTGCTAGTCATGGAAGACAGCAATTTTATTGCATAACTGCCATTCTACACTTGCCAACTAACTCTGCTCTTCCCAATAGGGCAGATTAAGCACTGATGTTGAAACCTATGCACTCTTGCAGAAAAAAATAAGGTACTTAGAGGATATTCTAGGCAACAAAACAACTTTAGCTTAATGAAGCAGTTTTGGTGTATAGATTATGCCCCTGCAGTATCACTGCTCAATTCTCTACCATTTAGGAGTTCAATCACTTTGTTTATGAACCCTAGTCACACCTCCCTGCATGCGACTTACACAGCCTTCCTAAATACTTCCTGTAAAGAATTAAATAGTTTTCGATTTTGCTACAAAGTCCCCACAGTTCTGTTTTTATGTAAAGTTTCAAACTTTTCTTGCTGTATTTTAGTTTACATATTTATGTAAAAGTGTTTTTTGTGCTGGTTTAAAAAAAAAATCATAAGATGCATATCCTTTCAAAGATGCATTGTAGCATTTGAGATGGCGATTGGTGGCTTTTGAAGCATTTAAGTAGATAATATCTGCCCTGTCTTGCCAGGCTCAGTCCTTCTGGATAGAATATATTCCCATAATGCAGTGTTTACCTATCTGTATTAACTCAAGTATGGAATTTCAGTAATCCACATTGTGACGGAGCTCCTGTCCTCGTTACTACAGTGGACTCTGGAACACTTCAGACCAAGTCGCCGAAACTTGACGTGGGTCTCTGAAGAACCTCTTCCATCCAACCAGCAGGAATCATCCCTTCTGCTTAGTCCTCTGTAGCTGGTGGTGCAGGAAATAATAATATATATTATAATATATATGTTATTTCTTGCTCTACCAGTCACCCATGCACCTCTTGATTCCTCCCAACGCCACGATCACCAACCAACAACTCCTAGATTTTGAGCAACACGCAGAGATAGCAAAGGCCCCATCGTCATATTTCGAGAAGGGACAGGAAAGCCAACACTGAGCCAGAGCACTTATGAAATATGGGAGAAGCTGCCTCAGAGAGTTGAGCAGTTGTGTGGAAGCCAACTGCAGTCACTGGACCGCTTTCCTGAATCAAAGGTTCTAGGCCGGAAGACCTGCTCAAACATGGAGGATTGTGACCTGCCCCTCGAGAAGCTTAGGCTCACACGTTGAAAGCTTGGTGGTACCTTACTCCAACACCTGACAGAAATACTGCAGCGGCTCCTATACTCATGCACAATATTGCTGTTTCCACTTCTCTATTTACTTTCACCCTATCAGTTTTCTAGATGCCTTCTTGATAACATGGGTCCGACCTGGGGTTGTACATCCTATTATTTTCTGATCATTCAGTGCATCAGACTAGCCTCTTACTACTTGTGATTTTAAGCTTAGCACTGTGTTTCACTTCTTATTTTATTAGCTCGGTACGATTTGCTCTAAATGCATATGTTTTCTTTCTTCTTTTGTTTTTCTTTTTATAGTTTTACTAACATTGCACCGGGTTCCTCTTGTATGATAGTTTATAAAAGGTGCAATACTCTCA